CAAATACTGTGCCATCAGCAAATACTGTGCCATCAGCAAATACTGTGCCATCAGCAAATAGAGCCATAGAACCACTTTGGTCACAAGATTGTTAGGAAGATTGTAAATATAGGCAAGAAACAATACAAGAAAAAGGATAGAACTTTGTTTTACTCTAGAAGTTACTGGAAATTAAGAAGATCGATCTTAGGTATTATAATCTCAATATCAAATCCATCAAGGATGGGTTTAGAGGACTAACATGCCAGACTATATTGAAAACCTATGATACTTCAAGTGCAATAGCACTTGCCTTGTTAGCTCTATTTAATGGTCTCTTCCACCTAAAGTCTAACGACTTTTTTTAATTCTTTATGTTACAGATTTTTAGATAGAAAGTGTAAAATAAATTATAAAGTTGTAAAGTAAGTTTAACAAATTTTTTTAACACTTAAATTTTATGTTTTACAATTGAAGACATAAGTGGATGAAGGTGTTATGTTACACCAATATGGAACTGAGATATCATGAGTTTTGAACACATATTGTTCTAGATATTTTTCTATAGCAAAGATATGAGAAAATATATCTTAAGATATATTTTCTTATATCTTTGCTATAGAAAACACATTGACTGCTATAAGAAAACACATTGACTGCAATACAACTAAGTGGATGAAGGTGTTAAAGTCATTTTTCACTAATAATATTACAATATTCACATAAGATAATACAAAATACACATGACTATATGTATGTTGTAATATTAAATAAATAAATTTTTTTGAATGCACGACCTTCAGATTGGAAATCACCGACTGTAACCGCTGGACTACCAACCACTTTATTTTCTAATGAAAATGTTAATACCTGTGTATTGCTTGTTCTCAGTCTACATCTTTCCAGGATATCCTACTAATATCAATCATTTAACCTAATACATGATTATATTGTTATAACTTACCTATATCTGTGTTGTAAACATAAAGTAAGCATGTAAGTCGTAAGCATTTTTTATTAAGGCCAATGATGTACTGGGAGGTATTTATTTCAGCAAAAAGACATGTTCTTTATTTATTTATTCTCTTTATGAACATCAAAACAATAATAATACAATCAATAAACAAAATATAATATAAGTAAAAAGTATAAATCGATATCTAGTGGTGGGATTGTTGCTTATCATTATAAAAGATAATGGTCAAAACAACTGTTCATAAAAATATCTATACTCCGGTTTAACAAATTCTACCAATTTGGATAAATCATTCAATTTCTCCTTAGATATTGTTCCATACTTTCCATTATGCCCTTCAATATGAGAAATATTGGGTACACCCCCTCTTTTTTTTTTTATAATGTCCACTTTTTTGAAAGGGACACTCTCGTCATAAGACTCTTTATAAAGATAGGAGCCATATTCCTCCACCCTTATCCATTTTACTCAATCCCTAAATTTGACTTGCTCGTTTAGCTCATCTTTCTTCCTATTAAATATATTGAGTTTTCCTGGCAACTCATCAAATTTCCGGAAATGTTGGGCCATGTCTATGATTTTGTTATTTTTTCCAGAACTTCTAATCACATCTCGATACTGGTCTGGTGTATAAATGGAATCTACCTTTCTTAATTTTTTTTCAATCCTTCTGAAGTCACGGTCTGAGTCCATGTAAGTATGACCAACTTCTGAAATTTGTGGTCAATTATTTTAAAATACTTATTCAAAATAAGGTATTGATATAAAGTGGTTATATTGAAATTTTTACTTTGGCCAGCACAAGAGTCTGACCAAATAACAAGGTGATCATATTTCTCCTCGCATGTCTCTGCAAACCGTAATACACAGCTGGCTATTTTAGAGCTTCCCCTATTGGCCATGTCCTCCGTCCAATTGCAGAACACTGCCCTCTCTCCTTTTATAGACACTACATGAATCCCAAAGTTGTAAAACCACATCTGGCGCAGGTAGAACACTTTATTTGTTGTTATTTTAGGCAGTGGGATTGTTTGCTGCAAGTCAATCGTAGCAAATGCAGTCGATGTACTGATTTTTGCCCTTTCTCAATCAGTCTTCATAGCAGCTATTGCTGCAGACACATTATCTTTGCGAGGCACATTATCTCCGTTTTTATCGTATGTGCTACAGGTATCACTTTTTGGATAACCAAATGAGTAATTAAGTTGTGTAACAAACACATTTGCAGGCCTTGCGATAAAGCGTCGGGCGATGTGAATTTTATGTCGTCCAAGAGCAATTTTGCGTGTAGCTAGGGCTATTTGCGTCGAGCAAAAAATTTTTTGTTTGAGTATATTTAAAGATATTTTTGAGCGGAATTTTAATGAAGTAATTCACGATTATTGTAACATTTAATAAAGTATTTTAAAAACCGCACGCAGTTGAAATAAAAGTTTGAATTAAAAAAAATTAAATATGCTCATTATTTACAAGAAGAAAAAAATCAGATTAAAAAAAGTTTAAATCTTTTAACCCTTTCACTCCCTGAGACCCGCACAGCGGGTCGTAACTAATATCACGATTTTCCCTGTGATCCGCTGTGCGGGTCATTTCAACTTCTACGATTTAAACACGGTTTTATAGCGTTTTTTGTTGTGTTCTTTACAGATATGGAAAATAGAATAGTTATTACATCATAGGCTGAAAACCGTTTGTTAAAATTTATCTTAGTTAAAAAGATATAGCATTTTTAAAAATGGCTAGTTACAAAAGAACTTATTCAAATATGGAAGAAATTTTAAAAATAGTTATGGATGAAAGCAGCGATGATATGGACCTTGGTGAATTATCAGCCGATCAAAGCGAACCTGAAACAGATTGGGAATACGAAGAGGAAGATATAAAGTTTGTGCGAGCTCCTAATTCACCTTTATCTAATGATTTTCAGAATAAAAACTGTTCTTCTTTACCAGAATTTTGTCAAATAAATCATGTTTATAAAATCGATATCGATGAGGAGGAGGAAGAAGAAATTGAGCAAAATAGTAGTGAGGAAACATACCCTAATAAGAACAAGGAGACCCTATTCTCTGATCAATTATTTGATTCCACTAGAGAAAATGGTATAGCAGAACGAAAAAGAGTAAAAGTTCGCGGTGGTATTCAAAAAAACAGTGTCAATAATAAAAATCGAATACTTCAAGTTACTAACAGAGGTAAAGAAAAAAAAGGGAATAACAATCGAGGTTGTAGAGGAAGGCCATGGGGTAGAAGAGGACGATCCAATGCTAGAGTTTTAAAAATTAATCAACAGGGAATTGATTTAATATCAACATGGGAACGTGTTAAAATTGATAATACTGCAGATCCAATTATACCTTTTTTTGAACTAGAGGGACTTAGAGTAAGAATGACGCATGAAAATCCTTCTCCTTTAGATTTTGTTGAACTATATCTAACACCTAGTATTATTGAACTTATTGTAATTGAAACAAATCGATATGCTCAAGATTTTATAGATAAGAACCCAAATAAAGCAAGTAACGAGTATGTAGGAAATTGGGAACCGGTGACTGTTTTAGAAATAAAGAAGTATCTTGCTCTTGTTTTGCTTATGGGAATTATTTATAAACCTGATATTCATATGTATTGGTCTACATCTGAATTTTTTAGCACTCCAATATTCTCAAAAATTATGTCACGCACTCGTTTTCAACTGATTTTGAAGTTTTTACACTTCAACAATAATAATGATCCAAATTATGATGTAAATGACGAAAACCGTGATCGATTACACAAAATACGACCATTAATTGAACTAATTAGAGACCGATGTAAAAAGGTATTCTGCCCCGGACAAAATCTTAGTGTTGACGAATCACTTGTTCTTTTTAAGGGACGGTTGCATTTTAAGCAATATATTCGTACAAAAAGGGCACGATTTGGCATAAAACTATATGAATTGACCACATCAAGTGGAATAACACTAGATTTTTTGGTGTATTGTGGTAAAGGTATGTTTTATGAAGACGGAAATGAGGATATGCCCAGCACTGAGAGAATACCAGCTGCACTTATGGAACCTTTTTTAGATAAAGGACATATACTGTTTACAGATAACTACTACACAAGCCCTTCATTAGCAACTTTTCTTTTAGGAAGAAATACACACCTTTGTGGGACAGTTAAATCAAATAGAAAAAAGTACTGTAAAGAAATTGCGGAGTTTGCGTTAGAAAAAGGGGAGGCTGTGTTCTATCGATCCACAATTGATTCACGTGTTATTGCATGTAAATATCGAGCTGTCAAAAATAAATCAGGAAATAAACAGAAGGTTGTATATATGTTGTCAACTTGCCATTCAGCAAAAATGATTGAAACTGGTAAAACCTATGCAAATGACTCTGCAATATACAAACCATCAATAGTGCGATCATATAACAGTCACATGGGAGGGGTTGACAGAGTGGATCAACAGTTACATAGTTTACGAACATTGCGTAAAAGTTATAAGTGGTACAAAAAATTAGCATTTAGAATGATTTCACAGGTGATACTAAATGCACATAAAGTTTTTCAACACGAAACTGGAAAATCTAAAATAACATTCCTTGATTTTTTGCATGAAACTATTTCATCTTTAGCACTAATCAATCCAGTTATACCAAACAACCAAATACTAGATGATACATTATCTCGTCTTACTGGCAGACATTTTCCTTCGCTCAAAGTAGCCTCACCAGATACAAAAGATAAAAGACCAACCAAAAGATTTAGAGTGTGCTATGCAAGAGGAAAACTATCAGCTAAATGTCAACCACTAAAAACTACATATGTTTGTCGATTTTGCCCATCTGAACCAGGGCTTCACCCAGACACTTGTTTTGAAGCTTACCGCACTCAAGTTAATTATTTATTGTAGTTTGTTTTGTTTGTATTGGCAGACTTAATCTTTCTTTTTTTTTTTTCATTCTACAAACATAATAAAAAATTTAACTTAAAAATAACGTTTTTTTTCAAAATTCTTATATTTTTAGAATCTCTCCTTTTTCCAGAGTTTTTGTGTTAAACCTTTTATTTTTTTGCCATGAACTAATAGATTGATTCTAAACTGTTTTTACTTACGTTTCATTTGTTTATAACATAATATTTTGGTTTATTTTTGGATTTTACTCCAAAAAAGCAAAATTTTGATTAATGTCAAAGGCCGTTTTTTGAGTCATGTGACGTCTTATAAGTGTCATAAATATATATTTTTTCCATATTTTGTTAGATTAATGTATTAGTAAAAAAGGGGCCAAGTTTCACATAGAATTGCTCATTATTTTAGTCACTATAAGCTTTTAAAGTGTTTGAGTCAGAAACGGGAATTTTGACTCTGGGAATATAGCGGAAAATATCCCGGGAGAGAAAGGGTTAAGCTAACATTTTAATAAAATTATTCAGCAATAGCAAAGTTGTCGATAAAATTGAACAAAAATACTTTCTTTTAGTTTTAGATTTTAAACTTAAATAAATATTTTACGGGGGTTTGTTAGGTTTTAAAATTATTCCATAGATTTAAAAATATTTATTAACTGTTAGGCGTATTTAAAGTATTTAAGAGTAATTTCGAGGAAACATTTTAAAAATTGGTGAGCGCAAATAAAAAAAAAAAATGGTTAATATTAAAACGTATTCTACTTGATTCAATAAAAAAGTACAGTTATTAAAATTTTTGTAAAAAGTAACTCAATAATAAGAATAATTTTTAAGAATAATTTTTAAGAATAATTTTTTCGCTGAAATATTTCTTTTATACCTAAAAGATTTTTATTCTAACATTTTTTATTTTACTAGAAATAAAATTCCTTCAAAACTTGACAAACGTCGAGAAAATAAACAAATGTTTTTACATTTTAAAAAACGAAACATTCCAAACATTTTTAAATAATAACATTTCTACATAAACGATTTAAAGTAGTTTTGTGGTAATTAAGTAAATTGGTGCAGTTAATGTCGATAAATATGAAAAGCAAATAAAAAGAATTTAATGACATCAAAAATCACGTCGTGCTTATGTGTCGCGCAGTTCTTATTCATCGCAAGGCCAGCATTTGTGAAGGTACATTTTTTAATTTTATACATTTCGCTTAATTTCTCTTTCTCACACTCTTCTATGTACGATTGGTACAACAAAGTAATATTGAGCACAGGCGATAAATGCTTTTTATGAAAGTTTTTATTTCTAGAGTAGTGTTACTCCTCTACTGGGAATTTTTTAATGTGGGCAATGATTCTTTGAAGAACCTCATCTTGCATTTTGTGGGGTCTATTTGGATGCCTCCCTCTTAAGTCCTTCGGTGGAGCAGAAACGCCATCATCAATCCTACTTTTTATAATATCCACTTTCTTCATTCCAATTTTGTAGAGGCTGCAGAGTGCTTTTAGATACTTTATAGAAATAAGAAGCACTTTTAGGGGATTTTGCATTTAGTCGCATTCTTTTAATGGCTGTTTTAGTAATGCATTTAAACGATAGGACCTTCTTTGCATTTACATCCAGTTTGTAAAATGCCTCTAAAAGACTTGCTCTATCTTCTACACTGATCTTTGAGCTGCAACTCCAACGACAATTTTCGTTGCACGGAATGCCCTCATTAACCATTTTAGAAGGCATTTCTTTGTTCGTACCCTGACTTTTTTAAGACTGCCCTCTCTCTCTTGCTAATGTCGCTGCCTTTTTTTTCCATGACTCAGGTTCACATTTTCGCTTTTCTAAAGTCTTCTCTTTCGGGGTAAAGGACTTCTTCTTCCTCTTTCCTATAAATAATATAATATATTATTATACAAAACATTATTTTACTATAAAATTTACATTCTATTATAGTGATATTTTTATAAACAATACATTTTGAAATATATTACCTGTAACCAAGTCATTGGAAGCAATTGCTGATGAATGTATCTCTACATCATTACCAGATGATTGAAGATGTGTATTCATGCCAGTTGTAATGTAAAATGAATATTGAGCTTTACCGTAATAATCATAACATATATCCGGATTAACGGAATATGATAAAATATCTCACCAATAGACAGATTTTCAACGGTAATAGTCTCATCTACAGCTTCAGGTAAATACAGGTTTTCAGATTGAATAACTGCAAAGTAAATGTGAAAATTAAACATAGGTACATAATAATCATAATACATATCTTGATAGCGGAATATGACAAAATATCTCACCAATAGGCAGATTTTCAGCGGTCATAGTCTCAGCTACAGATTCAGACAAACGTGTATTCAGATTGATCAACTACAAAGAAAAGATGATTATATTGTCGGTATATATCAAGTTTTACATTATTTGCAATTATAGAAAAACACAAAAATCACTTACGAATGGTCATATATATATATATATATATATATATATATATATATATATATATATATATATATATATATATATATATATATATATATATATATATATATATATATATATATCTATATATATATATATATATATATATATATATATATATATATATATATATATATATAATTATTTTATTAGTAGTTTTATCAATCAATCACCAAAGTACTATTATAAAAATTTGTTTGATAGTATATTTTTTATATAAATTACAACAATAACTTAAACGCAAGTAATTGAAATTTTATAAAAAGTTTCTTCGGAATATTCTGGAACTTTAATTCATAGCCAGCGTGTTTTGTGAACCAATAGAATTCATTTATTTTTAGATATGGCGGTATTTTTGTGTTAGCAAATATTCTTTATATTATCTTTTCCGCAACAAGATGTTTTGAGAGCATTCAAGTTTATCCATGTTTCTATCTATGTCCGCATAACAATAAAATTATAAAACTCATGCAAAAAAAGTTTATTTATTGAATTTTACTGAAATTTATCGAATAGTCGGTTAACCGCAAATTGATTGGAACTGTTATCCGGTTTGAATGTGTTAAAGTCCCTTTACACTTACATCCGCGTTAAATCGTGTTATGGGTGAATTAATATGTAACATAACTCCTTCATCCACTGTGAAAATCTTATTTTAGCACATTTTTGAGCGGTGTCATTATGTTCATGTGAAAGAGCGTTACTTAACACCTTTATTTGTGTAAAAATGTGGAATTTTGTATTGTGACATAACCCCTTCATCCACTTATGTCTTCAATTGAAGACCTTGGAATGAAAACCTCAAATGTCACAAGCAAATTTTTTTTCAATATAGCGTTTAAACTGAATACCATGGTTTCACTAATATATATTAATATCTTTAAAATGTCAAATCATAGAACCACGTTTAGTGCACTGAATAAGTTTAACCAATACTATTAAGTATACATAAGTATAAATATTGGTTAAAAATTTAATGTGACATTTGATGATTTTCCAAAAGAATTAGACTTATGTTGTTTTTACTTCAAAATATGGAGAATTTGATTAAAGGAGAAATAAAAACAATAATAATGATCGGTTTTTTTTTTTCAATGTTTTCCTTTTATTTTATAAAGTGGAAGAAAAAGATAAGTATTTTATAAATATTTTTCATTTATAAGTAAGAAAATATAAAAAAATAATAATAACAATTTAAAAAAACAAAGCATAAAATACAAAACATAAAGAAACTGAAATATTATAGGTTTTATTTAAATATGAATTTTAATCTAATCCAAATTTTGTATTATCCAAAAGATTTGATCATAAAAAATGGATCATATTTCAGTTGTTTTTGTAAGAATAGTTTGAGCATTTTTTTTATGCCTAATGTATCTGGAAGGTATCTTACATTTTTATTTTTGTTGAAAGAATAATGGCTTTAACATCCTTTGAAGGATTGTATATGAGAATTAATGAGCTATATTATTTGATAAGGTACAGCATGTGGGTGGTTTTTATGTTTTCCTCTTTGCTTTGATTCAAAGCTCATAATTAAGACCATCTGAAGATTTTGTCTGAAACAAATAAGAATAATTTTTATTAAGATTGATGAAGATTTGTATGCATTTTATAAGACGCATCAGGAATAATAATTCTGACCTTATACTTGTAAGATTCAGAATGCATGTAAATATCATCATTACTAGGAATTACATCTTTTAAGTTACTTTTCACTTCAATGCAACCAGATAAACATCTTGTTCATTTTTAGTTTCCATATTATAAAACATATCAAATATTTCCATTCTAAAGTACTGTAAGTGAACTGAAGTACTGAAAGTGAACTTACATCAATCATTAACAGTATTAAAGTTCAATCAATTTGGATTTCAAAACTTTATGTTGTGTTTTGTAATAGAAATTAAGAATGATTGCATCGAATTAAAGATTATAAATAAAAAAGTTAAATAAAAAAGTTTATAAAGTAAAAAAATTATAAGAATAAATTGTATAAATCATAAATTAAAGTTGTAAATTAATATGTATTGCAATACAATATAGTAATATATTAATAATACAAAATTTACAATTTTTTTTTTACGCTATAGGTTTTTAAATGGAATATATCCTCTGCAGATAGGTGGTGCCAAAAGCTACACATTAGGTGGAAATGTTATTGTATTTGAATCATTAAAAGGATGTGTAAGAAACATAATAGATAATGGGATCATGTATGATTTACAATCTCCTCTTATGCAGTCTAAATCTGGTATTGGTTGTCCATCATATTCTACATTATGTCCTGTCTGTATTAATGGCAGGTGCATATTAATAAACTCTATCAGAAAATGTTCTTGTTTCTTTGGGTGGCAAGGAGAAAATTGCAATGAAAGTATAAATTTGTTGACTTTTTATGACTTTTTTTTTTTAATTAATATTTTTAATGTTGGTTATTGTAATACTTTGAATAAACATTGTACAATGTAATAATATAATAATTATAATGAAATGCAGTAAATATAGTTGAATTATAAATAAAGTTATATATATATATATATATATATATATATATATATATATATATATATATATATATATATATATATAATATATATATATATATATATATATATATATATATATATATATATATATATATATATATACAGTGGTGTACACTGCATTTTTAGATGTTTGAGTTTTGACGCTTACATACATTTTGCAAACTCCAAACTTTTGTATGTTCATACTTTTGTCAAATGAGAATGTTTTGCAAAAAATTGTGGTGATTGGAGCTTGGGGACAAAAAACCCCCAATTTTCGGGCCCACCCAGCCTTTAATGTGGGAGCAACAAGTTGATAAAATAATTTTCTTTAGTATTTTTATCTAAGTTTATATTCATCAATGAATTTCAAATTTCATGCAATAACCTCTTAGTTTACAGTTTTTATGACCCTACAAAGTTTACAGCCCCCTCAAATTGAGGAGGGTTAAAACAATATATGGTCATAATTTTCGAAAAATAAGAAATTATTGGATGAAATTTGAAATTTGTTGACGATTATAAACTTAGATAAAAATACTAAAAAAATTATTTTATCAACTTGTTGCTCCCACATTAAGGGCTGGGTGGGCCCGAAAATTGGGTTTTTTTTGTCCCCAAGCTCCAATCACCACAATTTTTTGCAAAACATTCTCATTTGACATAAGCATAAACATACAAAAGTTTGGAGTTTGCAAAATGTGTGTAAGTGTCAAAACTCAAACATCTAAAAGTCCAGTGTACACCACTGATATATATATATATATATATATATATATATATATATATATATATATATATATATATATATATATATATATATATATATATATATATATATATATATATATATATATATATATATATAGCAAAGCTTTGAAATTTGAATCGAATCAAAAATATGATTCGAGATACGATTTGAAAATTTTCAAAAATTCAATCCTTACTTATTTTGTTTTTGTTGTGGTTATTTTAGATATTCTTAAATACCTTTTTAATCAGTCATTAAAAAGTTTAACCACGGCAAGAAGCATCAATAAAGAGATTATTTTACAATTACTTTATTTTATTTTGAAATATATATTAATAGATAAAAAATGCTTAAATTTAGGCTTCAAAAAGTTGATTCGAAACGTGATTCGAATCACGAATCAAGACCTGTTTTGATTTGAGATTCGATTCAAAACAAAAATCTTTATTTTTAATTTAAAAATTTAAGGGGTTCAGGCTTATCGTTACCTTGGAAACAGTTATTCGCAGTATTCACTTTTGGATGAAGATGGTTTGTTGAGGAAATTAAGTTGGCATAAACGATATGAATCTCACTATATGGTACAAGTGAAGACTTTTTATGATGGAGTAATTTTATATGAAGAGGGTTCAAGTGGAGAATTCAGCTTGTTAGAGGTTAATCAGTTTGTAAAATGCAAATTTTTTATGTCAGCTGTATTTTATTTATAATAGATACACTTAAATACATAAACAAAGCATTAAATCAAATGTTATACTGCATAAATGTCATAATTATTATCAAGTCACCATTTGCGCCCAACATTTTTTGTTTTACGTGTATCAAATTTGTTATAAAATCTGTCATCATTATAAGAGGAATATAATCAGACAAGTTCAAAGAAAAATTATTTTCTACTTTTTAGTTCGCTTGAAAAACGTTGTTTTTAGAAAAAATTCATTTTTTATTCTAGATTATTTTATTTATTAAATTTGTTTATTTTTAACACTTACACTCTTTATTATTTGTTTGTTGTTATTTTATTTTATTATATTTATTGTTTACTAAATTTTTGTTCAATATGCGTGTTGAATTATTTGATATATAATTATTATATATATTATTTTATATAATTAGTTAGAGTTACGTAACAAAAAAATTCAACACAAAAGAATTCAGCAGAGTTACGTAACAAAAGAATTCAGCACAAAAGAATTCAGCAGAGTTACTTAACAAAAGAATTTCAAAAGTATTGAACTCATTCATTAATCATTTTGTTGAAATTGAGAGAAATATTGACTGCCAAAGCTTGAAAATAGTTTTAAATAGCATTGTCATGAGGTTCTGAGCTATCCTGAAAGTTTCAGAGCTCTAGCTAATTGGGAAGTGGGTTAAATATAGCTTTAAAGATTCTAACTGGACAGACAAACACACACACATACACAAGAAAGCAAGTTTATAAAAACATAATAACAGAAAAGACAAAAAAAATTTATAACAAAAAAAAAATTACCTTTTTCAAAAAAGTCTAAAAAATAAAAATTGTTTCCTACCATGCCTAAATTTATTCAAAGCATTCTCAAATTTCTATGATAAAATTTCTTTCTCAATAAATTTTTTTATTCAATCTCTAAATACATGGCATGTTTTAAAATGTTATCCCAGGTCTTGACAATTCTAGATGTAAAATGGGTTATACCGTTGCCAATTATTCTGAATTTGGTTATGCAAAGCTTAAGCTATTTGCTCACTATTAGTTCCCAATTAAGCATTCTTTCTCGTGATGAAATCCTTGATATGAAAAAACATAGCATGAACTTTTGATGTTATACTTCCTGCAGAAAATGCCAAAAAAGAGTGCTTGAAAAGAACAATTTTTTAATCAAAATTATGTGCATTCCCAAAGCCTTTACAACAGCATTGAACTTTATAACACTTTTAAAACACTTGTAGTCATAAATTCCGGCTCTGCAACGAGAGTTTCTAGAGTTGCAACAAGGTTTGCAACTCTAGAGCTTTACTAACTGGTTTAGCTTCTTTTAAGTAATGTGGAAAAGTTTCAAAAATGCCTGTTATTATTATTGCACCATATTGAACTCTCACATATGATAGACTAGTTCTATCCATATCAGCTTCTGTAAATGCTTCGAACATAAAACTGCTGATTTATGCGGATCAGTATAGTTTTCTCTATATGGACCAGTTATCCATTTTTATCTTCATTCAGGATGAAAAAAATTGCCTTAGTAATAGCATAAATCATTCCTTAACACACTTACATGTCAATTTTTTTTTTTTAAATATGTTTAAATATGGGTACATGGTGCAACAAATTGACAAACATGCGAACAAATGTTTAAAAAAGACAAAAACAAACATCAAGTTTCTTTACTTTTGCTTATGCAAACATGGCATATATTTAAAATTTTTAAAAACTATGAATCCCAGGTCCTGACAAGGGATGTATTGAGAACTCCAGAACACTTCAGTCTTTGGGTGGGATTTAGCACAAGCATCTGATTTAAGTCATTTAGAATAGTCTAGAGGATATATATCTGGAGAGTTAGAAAACCACCAGTTTTTTTTAGCCAGAAAATCTGCATATTTTTTTCAAGGGTTGTGTCTTTTTGGTAGTGCTCCATTTTGTGTGATCACAATTTTTGTATTTTTATTATAGGTTTGATATGGATCTCCAGAATATTTATATAAGTTGTGACCTTTTCTCACAAACACAAGATACATTTTTTGGCCATCAATGACTACAAAAATCATGACCTGCTTAAACTGTTTTGTTTCAAAAGTATCTGAAGTTTTCTGGAAGTTTACTTTGGTTGCCTTTAACAATAACATGGTCATTTCTGCTATTTAAAGCATAATCCTGTAAAAATTTCAAAGGTTTGACAGGACTTGACAGTCTTTACAACTTTGAGAGTTTGTTTTGAATATGGTCTTTCACTTTTTTATTAAATTATCATTTAATCTACAGATCATAAGCTTTCCAAAGTTTCCAAAAACCCTTAACATAGGTTTAAATTTTGGCATGAAATTCTGTTTTTTTTTTTTTTTTTTTTTTTTTTTTTTACATGCGCAATTTTTTATTATGCACCCGGCATATGAATTTTTTTATTTTTTAGATTCGAAAAGGAATGTTGCAATACAAGTACAATCTAGGGGATGGTGTTCTTACATTGGCACTTCCTGGTGTAAATATTACAAATAATGAATGGCACAATATCAGTTTGATACGAAAAGGAGCATTTGCCACTCTAGAAGTTTGGAATAATGGTATGATATCTGGAAATACTTATGGTAGTACTGGAACCCATCAACTCCTAGACACTAATGGCATTATTTACTTTGGTGGTATGTTAACTTCTGATCCTAGCAAAAAAAATAGTAACAAAAATGGCATAGCAGTTGATCCCATTAAAAGAATTATTAACAAAGATGGCACAGTAGCTGATCCTTATAAAAATAACAATGATGGTCTAATAGCAGATCCTTTTCAAGGTTTTTTTATAATTAAATATGAATATTATAAAATGTAGTATATCTTTTATATATATATATATAGAGAGAGAGAGACGGGATAGCTTAGTTGGTTAAAATTATTGGCGGTAGCAGCAGGATTGTAAGTTCAAATCCCGGCTCCGCCTATTCAGTATATGAGTAGTACTTCAGTACGAAGGGAACTCGTCTCGATTAGCTCTGCTATTACAATGTTTCCTTTTTGACTAGTAAAATAAATGTAATAGTAAATGTTGAGTAAATGAAAATCAAATTATATTATAGTAATAATAATTGATTGATAAATATTTTGGTTCTTATAGATTTAGAATTTATTAATAACTGAAATGACAGTTATTAATGATATGAATAATAAACACATAGACATGAACATACATTAAAAAAGTATAAAAGTCATAATTTGCAAGTAATAAAAAATAAAGGAAACAATTAAACAAACAAAAAAAAATGTCATTAAACAAAGAAATAACAATAGAAATAATTGCTAATAATAGAATAATAAAAGAAACATCAGCGATGAATAATAACATTCACATACCTCCTTAGTTCCATATGTCTCAGTTTCACATACCTCTTCAGTTCCACTTACCTCTTTGTTCAGTTCTTTTTATGTTAAGAGAAAATTATACCCACAGATAATTTCTATGGACTTAAAATTATTAGCAGAGTTTACTAATATTTTTCTCTTAACTTAAAAGGAACTGAACAAGAAGGTAGGTGGAACCAAGGAGGTATGTGGAGCTGAGGTTGTATGTGGAACAAAAAAGGTATCAAGAACTACAGTGTGAATTTAGATATAGGTGTGAAATTCAGATAACATTTTACTCAAAAGAGTATAATATAATTATTAAGTACAAAATATAATTAATAAAATATACAGTAATAAAAAATATGAAGTAGTATTAATATATAATATATAATAACTAAAATAATAATATTAATAATACATTAATAATGTATTAATAGTTTTTTTAGTCAAAATATTTTAATTAGAATAGAGTTATATTCCAATCAAAAAAATTTTCATTTTATGTTTTATTTTTTCTTACATTCAATAAATACTGATTCTAATATTTAGTATTTAAAGAGTCTTTCGGGTATTTAAGAGTTTTTTAGGTATTCAAGAGTTTTTCACAGAAAATGAAAATTTTAAAAGATATAATCAAGCTTAACTAGTGGGAAGCGTTTTTAATTTTTTTGATTATCTATTTTGGGTTGTTGAAAGCCTAAATTAATGTTATAATGTGCTTGAAACTTCAATTTTTTTATAGGATGCATTACACATGGAAGCTACAATCATGAGTATTTAGATTACAGATTTAGTGATTCCATTAATCCTTTAGTAAAAGTTTTTCGGTATAATGTTGATGCCAATTGCACATGCTCCTTAGCTGAAGCGAAATTGTGTCTTATTGGAGAAGTATGTATGGCAGGATCACCCCCATACTGTAGTTGTTTAACAGGAAGCAAATGTTCCTCAACTGATACAATGAAAGGTCAAGGTATAAAAACATGAGATAATTTTTTATATTATTATATTAGTTAATATGCAACACTAGTTTTAACTGTCAATATTACATTAATAGTTTTTTAAATTCTTTATTTACTAATTTATTTTTCATTTTCTTGTTTTGATTTATAAATAAATTACATTTTAACACTTTAATGCTTTAATATAATGTTATACAACAGGAAGGTTTTTCAATTTAGAAAACAATAATTCTCGTTTTTTAACTGGTACTGGTATGATGGTGCTCATTGTTTTGTTACTTCTATTCCTTGGATTTTTAGCAGTTCTTGCATTATTTACATCAGGGGTTTTCAACAAAAAGAAACCTATACCAATATATGTTGATCAAACCTGTCGTGAGAACGTCATGCTATATGCTGATGAAGGTTTTTATTTTACTTTATAAGTTTTTAAAGTTTTTCATCCCTTCAGAAGCATAATCAATTGTTTTTAGTTTATGAGAGATATTTAAAAAATATAAAAGTATTATCACCACTTTATTACTTTGACGTACCTTTAACAGTACACTAGCTTCATTAATTTGATGTAATAAATAATGTAATAAATTGTAATTAAGGTCCATAAATTGACGAAGGGTATTTTATATATATATATATACATATATATATATATATATATATATATATATATATATATATATATATATATATATATATATATATATATATATATATATATATATATATATATATATATATATATATATATATATATATATATATATATATATATATATATATATATATATGTACATGTACAGGTTTTCACAGCAGGCCATTATGCGCATTTCCATTTCTGCGCATGTTTTCTTTGTTTTAACAATTAGAAGCTGAGACAATATGCATACTATTATGATTTTCTAAAAGAACAATTTTAGTTAAAAATATTTTTATCATATTTAGGCTACCTGAATGAATTAAATATATATATATTTTTTTTTTTATTTTTTTTTTTTTTTATCGCAATAGTTTGAAAAATACACAATAATTATCAAAATGCTATATTCTAGCTAGAAGTATTTGGCGACTGCCACTTCTCATCAAAAATATAATAAATATGAATTTTAGAAAAATAATATCTTACTTGAAATTCTCACAAGCAGTTTATTTTCATAAAAATAACTACATGAAATTGACAAAGGAAATTGATCATTTAAGCCATTGCTGTGACTTGATAATACATAGTTTCGTAACTTTCTTATCTAAACGATTGCTGTGACTTGATGATACATAGTTTCGTAACTTTTTTATCTAAACGATTGCTGCAACTTGATGATACATAGTCTCGTAGCTTTCTAGAAAACTTTACTAACATCTAAAATTTTATTTTTAAAAAAATCTGCTGAAATTTATATTTTCTGAGGAATTCAAGTTTATTCTAAAACTAAAATTTTAGCTAAAATTTGCGTTTTTTTGTTTCTTGTGTGATTCCGCTTCAAACTTCATTTTTTAGTAACACTATTAATGTATACCATTTTTTGTTTGCAAAATATTTATATAGATTAGAATTAAATGAAAATAAATTAGAGATTGCCAGTTTTATCTTTATGAAAATAAGAAAACATGTAAAAATTACCGTTAATGTCTTTATATGACCATGCAAATAATATTTTGTTTTTACAATTTGACCATGGCTTTTAATATGCTTTCAAAATATAAAAATGCGCTGAAAAACTTAGCTAGACTTATCTAAAAAAAAAAACTTTATCTTAAAAAAGAAAAGTAATCCTACAGAAAGAGAAAAAAAAAAACCTAAACTAAAACACAATAAACAAAACTATAACTAAACTAAAAATAAAACTCTACAAACTAAAACTCTTAGTTTATTTATAATCATGTTTTTAATTACGTTTGTAATAATAAACTTTGAATCTTTTATCTTTACTAATACTTATATGATATTATGGAGAACCCAGAAAATAAAGAAATAATTTACTTCTAATGATTGTTTAAAAAAAATTTGCACTTAATTTAGGTCGGCATTCGCCAATGCCGACCTAACTGCCGACCTGAAAGTGTTTGAGGTTGGAAATTTTTTGCCGACCTCAAAACACTATAACACATACCAAACATAAAACATACTCAAAACCATAAAACATAGAAACACCATACACTATAAAACATACTCAAAAGCATAAAGCATAGAAACACTCAGTTTCTATGTTTTATGGTTAGACCTTTGTATCAAAGTTTTTGCCGACCTGATGCCAAACTCAAAAAGATTGAGGTCGAAAATATTGCCTTCCTCCTTTTTCCTAATTCCAAGCATTATATATATATATATATATATATATATATATATATATATATATATATATATATATATATATATATATATATATATATATATATATATATATATATATAATATAAAATAAATCAAACTAAGGATCAAGAAACACTGATCAATTTTAAAATTAACTTGTGAAAATTATTGGTTTTTAAGAAAGAATTTTAAAACTTTTTTTTCGATTTAATATTAGTTTATTCATTTTAATCCCATAGCAACCAATACTTATTACAATGATAATCAAACAACAACACTTCTATGACAACAACACTTTTATGTGCAAAAAAAAAAAACTAAAAAAATTAGTTAAGTAGTTTTTACATATTTAGCAATGAAATGAAATTTCATCGTGTTCAACAGAACAAATTTTTACATCACATGATTAGATGATTTTGTGATTGCTTTTTGATTATAATTTTAGGAGCTGGTGAAGATGATTTCCACAACTACGATCTTGAAAAACTTTTGCAGCATGCTGGTGGTAAAAACTTATCAGTTGTTGAAGATATGAATAGTTTTGAAATGAGTGAAATCAACAAAAATGGTTACAGTTTTATCGGAGGAAGCCAAAATGATTTTTCAAATGAGAGAAATAGTTTTATTCACGACTCTAATACTAGAATTTATAACTCGTCTAATGGTGAAGCTTATAATGCTACTACTGCTCGTTCTGTCAGCAATGCATTTAACTCATCTAATAATGAAGCTTATAATGCTACTACTGCTCGTTCTGTCAGCAATGCATATAACAATTCCTCTCAGTCAGCAGGAGAAATGTATAGGGCCACAACAGCTCGATCAACAGTAACTAGGAATCAGCAGGATCAACAGGAAAATCGCTTTAGCAACCAGAGTAGGTTTTTTTTTATTGATAAAATAAAATTTTTATTAATCTGTTTTATATATTTAAAAATAACTAAAACAAGATTTTTGCCAAAAACAACAAGATTAGTACAAAAAATACTTTACAAAATACTTTGTTCTTTGCAACTGACAATTCTGCTACCTCTTTCCTTTCTTCCACATTTCCTTACTTTCTTCCACATTACCTTTTAGATCCTATAGACCCTAGAGTGATCTTTTTACTTTTTTTTTTAGACGAAATTGAATCTCTTTGAAAATTGTTTTTTTAACTTTTTTTTTAGACGGAATTGAATCTCTTTAAAAGTTGTTTGTTTGTTTTTTTACTTTTTTTTAGACGAAAGTGAATCTCTTTTAAAGTTGTTTTTTTTTAACTTTTTTTTTTAGACGAAAGTGAATCTCTTTTGCGATCAGATTATAATGCAAATACCGAAACTGCAAACTTTACCTCTCGTTCACAACGACAAGTATCACAAAGTTCTCGCTTTGATGCGTCACAAGCTGAAGAAATTAATTTAGCCTTGTTCATTGATGAACAACTACTTGCAGCTGACAATTCTAAAAATTCACACCCACGTGATACGCTTTTGCATTATGGTTATGAAGGAGAAGGATCCGACATGTCAGATTTAAGCGAACTAGGTGAAAGTGAGAGTGAGACTGATGATGAAGATGATTTTTCTTTTTTGGCTGATTGGGGACCAAAGTTTGAATTTTTGGATCGACTATACAACCCACGCACTGATGATTCTGAAGAAGATGTTTAGTATTTCATTGCATTTGAATTGTAAAACACAAATAAATACTCTAGAAACACGATAAATTTAATATAAACACGATAAAGTACGCTAAAACACGATAAAGTGCGTTAAAACACGATAAAGTATGTTGAAACACTTTAGAATACTTTAGAAACTCAAAACGTTTATTAACGAGCATTAAAAGCTATTAAAGTCTTGAATTATAGAAATAAGTCCAAGATGCATTCTATATACTTAAAGACATTGTATTTATAAATGATATTTTTTACTAATTATGATGAAATCATTTTCTCTGTACAATACTTTTTATTTATTAATGTTTTTTTAGAATTTTCTAGATATTTAATAATATTTATAATGCATTTGTATGAACATCATATTTATCATCTTGTATGAGTTATATTTATTACACGTTAATGTTTTTAATTGTAGTTGCTTTCTTTTTATGTAATGTATAGGTCATACCTGAAATGACATTTTAACGTGGATTTGGTTTTGAAATGTATCGGTTTTTATTTTCTTTCTTTAGCACATCTTAGCGCGTCACTAAGGAAAAACGTATAAAGACAACATTTTATTTTTGGCGCGTCACTAAGAAAAAACGTATAAATACAATATTGTTTTTTTATTATTCTTTATAAACCTATCGATACTTATTTACTTTAAAATAACAAGTTGAATTACAGGTTCCATAGAACTTATCGTAGTTAATGCAAAGATTACTGCATCGCAAAAAAAATATGTGTAAATTCGTGACATTTGACCTATAAGGAGTTTATAAAGTATGTACGCTTAAAGGTGAGTTTCCACTCATCCGTTTTCTCGCGGGAACGGGATAGGAACGGTAAAAATAATCACGTGAGCATGCGTAGTTTTTCTTCGTACATATTACAGGGTTATTCATTCTTATATGCGCGTCTATTTAGTCTTATATGCGCATTTATTCATTTTTATATGCGCCTGTATTCATTCTTATATGCGCATTTATTCATTTTTATATGCGCCTTTATTCATTCTTATATGCGCATTTATTCATTCTTATATGCGCATTTATTCATTTTTATATGCGCCTTTATTCATTCTTATATGATGCGTTTACAAAAGCAATTGTAAAAAAGCAATTTGAACAAAAAAAAAATTATTTAAGCAATTTGTTTTGAAAAAACAGTTTATTTTTTCAAAACAAATTTTTCATATTTCCAAATAAACGAGGTTAAAAATACTTAAAACGAAGACTTTTTACATTTGATGATGGTTTATTTAATTTAGTATTAGTTCTTTGTTTTCGATGATAGTTTATTTAATTTAGTATTGTTCTTTGTAATTTTATTATTAAATTTCTTGATTGATTAAGTTATTATTTATCTAATTATTCATTTATCTAGAATTAAATTTAATTATTTATAATTATTATTAATACCAATACTTAATAGCTATACCATGTAATATGATACTTAATACTATACCATGAGAGGCTAGTGTTTGCCTAATAGAAAGACTCCAGCAGAATTTACAATTGTCCATAATCAAATTGCTTTTTTACAATTGCTTTTGTAAAACGCATATAAGAATGAATAAAGGCGCATATAAAAATGAATAAAGGCGCATCTAAAAATGAATAAATGCGCATATAATAATGAATAAAGGCGCATATAAAAATGAATAGACGCGCATATAAGAATGAATAACCCTGTAAAACTTATACTACGCATGCCCACGTGATTATTTTTCCCGTCCTTTCCGTTCCCGTGAAAAAACGGATGAGTGGAAACTCGCCTTGACACGATTGATTTTAGATCCCCTGCTCTCTTATACAAATCTGCATGTTTTGCACGAGCCTTCTCCTAAAAGTAAAGAAAATCAAATATGAAAAAAGCATTTTGAAAACATGTTTTGAATAATACACATCAATTGATTTAATTTAATTGTTTAATGATTTTAATTTAACTTTATGTTTGTTCGATATTTGTGAATAATTTAGAACTCTAAATGTAGCTAAATATATATTTTTTAAAAGTTCAATGCAACTTTGTCCTAGTTATATATTGTTATAGTTTTGAAAAACTCTTAAGTATTGAGTTTTTATAGGTTTATCTTTTTTTATTATTCTTGTTTTTTGCCGTGCATATAACATTTACAAATTTTGTAAATTAAAGGTGTATTAACAAGTCTCGTGAGTCTAAATATATTATGAAATTTATAACTAAATAGAAACTTCAAGAAGATTGTAATGATTTTATGACAAAGCCCTTACAAAGTGATTACAAAGTTAAATATAATTATATATTAAGTACAACTATTTTTTGATAGTCTTTATATTAAAATAAACTCATAATAAAAAATAAGCTCAAGATAAAAAATTGAACATAACAAACAGCAAAATAACTAAAATTGTTAAGAAAAAAAATCAAGTGTTTTATTATTATTATTATTATTTTTTTGTGGAATAAATAGTTTTTTAATATCTTGTTTGAGAAAGGTGAGTGTCAATTAGTTAATACACATAAACGAGTCAGTTCACTTTGTAGTTGATATATATATGTAATTTATTTTATAATTTAAAATCTCAAAGAGATTTTATAACTATAACAAAGAGATTTTATAACTATAACAAAAAGATTTTATAACTATAAATTAAAATACATATATTAGTAGAATTCAGAGTATTTTCTTAGATTTAGTATCAGATTTATTAACTTTGTTTTCTTGGAATGTTGATTATCTAGATTGCAAATTGATTTATTTTTAGTTTGTTGTATAAATAAGGACCCCGATATAAAATTGAGAACTGGAAAAGTTTTGTTTTTTTGAAAGGTGTAATGAAGTTTCCTGTTTTTTTTTATGTTTTACTTATTAACGTTGCTTAAAAAAAATTTATTTAAAAAATGGTTTAGTCCTTGACCTAATTTAAATTTTAGCATAAACAATATATTTTTCATGCGGTAGTGGTGTTGTGGTAAAACACTAGCTTCATAACTCACTCTCTTCTCGGCCTTGAGGAGGTAAATAACAAAAAAAAAAAAAAAAAAAAAAAAAAAAAGTTAATTTAATACAGTACATTCATTTCTTTTCATAAGGGTTCAGCGTGTGTAAATTTGCCTTTATGGTAAGTTAGTCTTATAGTATGTTTCTGACGTCGACATCAAGTATATATATATATATATATATATATATATATATATATATATATATATATATATATATATATATATATATATATATATATATATATATATATATATATATATATATATATATATATATATATATATACATATTTTAACTGGAGTTCTATGTTTACATTATCAATCTAAAAATTTTGACGCAATATTTCAAAGAAGTTAATGTAATTTAACTGTTTTTATCATCAGATTTTTTTTTTATTTATCTAAAACAAATATTTTAACGGTAGTATTAATTTACAGCAGTCGTGGTGTAGTTTTTAAAAATGTGGTTTTGGAACTAGAGGTCAGTGGTTCATAGCCGGCTCTGGTGATTTATGCGTCCTTGGTGAAATGCGTCATTGGTAAGGATATGTGAACTTACTGGTTAAATGCTAATCCGCGTTGCTTTGTGATAAGTCCGGTAGGATTTCTTGGAGCACTAAATACTTAATAAAAAACATTTTTTTGAATATAAATGGCAAATAAAAGAGAAATAAAAATTATAATGGAGGACACATTCAATGAGCAAAAAAGTTTGCTTTTAATGTTTAAAAAAAGTTCGCTATCATTAGGAAACACATTGATTAAATATAAAAAAGGCAATATTTGACATTTAATAGGAAAAATAAAAAACCACATTTCGATAGTATAAGTTTTAGTTTTGCATTTTTGTATGAAACATAGAAAAAAAAAAGCCAAACGGACATGACGTTGTTAATGAAAACAATATTTATTCATACGAACTTTCGTTTACAAATTATCGAATTTATTCATACAAACTTTCAATACGAATTCATAAAAACTATTTTTTTTAAAGGAATTTAAACGTCAAATCTTTGTTCTCTCTAATTTTTGAAATCACACATATATATATATATATATATATATATATATATATATATATATATATATATATATATATATATATATATATATATATATATATATATATATATATTTTTTTTTTTTTTTTTTTTTTTTACTTTTGATAAATTTTTTAATCATCTTTCTCAAAATGAATAATATACTAAATAAAAACCAATAAATTTTCAAATAAAGTTTCAAAAAATAAGATTTGTTTGAAAAATCTAAATTCACTTTAGTCATTTTAATTGATTTATCAGAAGCTTTTGATCTTTGAACCTTTTCAAAAAACTAAATTATTATTTTAAATAATTGGAACACTTTAGGAATAAATATTTATTAACCAAAGATGGCGTGACTATAAAACATTTATGATTTGATACAAACAGACAACCCTACTATACTGTTTAATTGTCCGTGAATCTGTATTGACCATTTCGCATATAAATCTTCTATGCCACAGATGGTCAAAAAGCTGTTTTCACAGACACAGGTTCATAAATTTGAACGGAAAGTGCTATGGGATTGTTTAAGACTTTTTGGAAAGGTTTTTATGTGTAAACTTTGGAAAAACTAAAAATTAATTTTGCTGCAGAATATTTAGGTCATAACTCAAAAGAACAAAATATTGAAAGTATTATAAAATTTTCTTTTTTATAGGTTATTACAAAAACACGTATAAATGTTTATAGATATGTATGTATATTTTGTAATACAAAGATAACATAGGTAAGATAACATAATATAACATCAATGGCAAAAATAATAAAAATTATCCAGAGAATTACTAAAATACATAATTCAGAGAATTACTAAAATACATAATTAACATTTTAAAATATCATCTTCAGATAAAATGTATTAACATTTTAAAATATCATCTTCAGATAAAATGTTATTAGAGATATTTTGTTTATGAGAATATTTGTCAGAATCTCCTCATTCATACCAAAATTTGCAAAATGATTTTGACTTTTATTTCTTGTCAAAAAAAAATTTTGATTTTATGATATCCACATTCAGTTAATTGTGTATGTTAAATTGACAGTTTAGCAGTTTTTTGAAAGTGAAAAATTTTCTTGAAAGTCTAGTATTTATCAATCTAAATATTTGTTGTGACCTTTTAACCCTGAATTATAAAGATTTTCCGAAACATTTCATATTATTCAAAATTAGTGTCCAAGATTGACCGATCAGTTTGTGACGTGATGGTGTTATACTGATCCATGATCCAGGTAAATTTATTTTTGTAACAGGCGGAAACACATTAAATAGGAATAAATAAAAATATGTACAACAGAAATATAATTAAATTGATCCACATAAATTTTTCTTTTTTAGAGAAATACTCAAAGAATTACTGAGAGCACCAATCCGAATTTTCAAAATGTGGCATGA